GAAGAAAGGAGATTTCATCTAAGGCAAAGAAAAGGTTTTTTTACAGTAAGAGCAATAAGGATATGAAATGATTTGCCTAAATAGGTGATTTTGGCAGAGTCTATACAGATGTTTAAACTGCAATTGGATAAATACTTGCAAAAACATAACATACAGGGATATAATTTCTAATTAGTGGGGTAATAGCTGCTTAATTCAAGTAGACATCTGACTGCTATTTTGGGGTCAAGAAGGAATTTTTTCCTAGTTTGTTGCAAAATTGGAAGCGCTTCAGACTGTGTTTTTTGCCTTCTTTTGGATCAACAGCAAAAACATATGTGCGGAAGGCTGAACTTGATGGACGCAAGGCTCCCCACACCTCCTATAACCCACACTACCTGAGCAGCACACTCACTGCAGCTCCTCACATCTCCTATAACCCACACTACCTGAGCAGCACGCTCACTGCAGCTCCCCACATCTCCTATAACCCACACTACCTGAGCAGCACACTCACTGCAGCTCCCCACAACTCCTATAACCCACACTACCTGAGCAGAACACTCACTGCAGCTCCCCACACCTCCTATTACCCACACTACCTGAGCAGCATGTTCACTGCAGCTCCCCACACCTCCTATTACACACACTATCTGAGCAGCACACTCACTGCAGCTCTTCACACCTCCTCTAACACACACCACCTGAGCAGCACGCTCACAGCAGCTCATCACACCCCCTATTACGTGTATGAATTCAGTATATTCATAACAAGCTGTCAAGACCCCAAAACAAGCCCAGCACGTCTGCTTTATATATCCACCATCTTGTGGGGGCACCTGTTTTCATTTGCTTCCTATTTGTAGCTTCATCTCCCTGTGTTGGTTACCTCACCAGGACCAGGGCGCCCTCACCTCATGTTATAAATGTCTTAAATAAATTGGAGTGTCTCCTGGTCTATCCTGAGTGACACAAGCTTGTACATCATTCAACATGACGTTAAAACATTTCATTAAAATCCAGAATACCGTTTATTGCAGTGCATTCCACTAGGCAATTTACAAATTTTTCTAAAGCATTTCAGTCCACCAAAATTTCTACATAGGATGAATGAATGAATAAATAAATAAATAAATAAATAAACTTTAATACTTTTATTTTTCTTGTCTGTACAGTAATCTCTGCACAACATAGCTCTTTTATCAAATGCTTATGGGCTATCTACGCACCCCATATTTCAAACAAATGTTATGAAAATAGTTTTTAAAACAATAATTGAAGGGGTTAAAGGGACAGGTTAGGCACCATAATCCCTACATGCCGCTGTAGTGGTTATGGTGCCATTAGGCCCCAGGTAAAAACCCCTGATTCTTATTCATCCTGTTTTAAAGAGATGTCAGCTTAGACACCGGGACGATTAATACTATTAAAATAAGAATGACCACGGATCCAGCAACAGTCGAGCAGAGACCTGAATCGCAGGTGTCTCTGAAAAGTGAAATAAAATTCAGAGCTGTAAGAAAATCACTTTTTTTTATTACAAGGAAAAGATCTAATCTTATTTCAAACAAACCTGCTCGGCCAAGCATAACTTCCGTCAGACTGAAAAAACCCATAAACAATCTGTCACTTGTAATGAGATGATCTGTATTGGTGCCAGGAAAATGTCATATCTTTACATACGTGTAAGGACAAGGGAGGATGTGAAATAAGTGAAAAGGCTTGTTTATGATAAATGGTGGAATAAGAGAATTACATTCAGGAAAAAGGGAAGAATAAATGATAGACCAAAATTATCCAGTGATAAATCCTGCAAAAAGAGAGCTATGTGCAGGAACGAGGGGAGACAGAACAACAAAACCAAAAGCTATCCCATGATAAATTCTGCAAAAAGAACTGCGCGCATGAACTGTCTTCTATCCAGATTGTCCAGCTTTTCTTGGTATTGATTCTGGCCCCTAGAAAGTTCATATATTGAGATGGCTGCAGTAGTCTTGAAGTTTATATTCCAACCATATTCTTGCAAGTTATGAATGACTATCTCTGTGTTTGTCATCAGCCTTGTTGGACATTCGTTCATGATCATGATGTCGTCCAAATAATGGAAAATTCTGATTCCTTTTTCCCCTTAGTAGTGCTATTAAGCTGATCAGAATTTTTGAGAAGGTTGTGGGAGTGGAGATTAGACCAAAATGCATACACTGGAATTAAAAGCGACTGTTGAATATCTTAACCGTTAGGAATCTTCTGTGTGAGGTCACAATAGGGATGTTAGTGTTAGCAATTCTGAAACATGGATTTGGGGATTGATTGACCCAATGTTCTCCATTTTGAATATTCTGTTCTTCAGAAAGGTATTTGTAACGGACCGTTTTGCACACAAGGGGTAAAAACCGTTTAGGCGATCGGCCCCCTTTCCAGAGATCCAGGCACAGCTACTGCAGAACACCAAAACTCACGAACTGCATACAAAATAGCACTCCAACTCCCAAACTGGAACCTCCCAAATAGCTGCTAGCAGACGAACAGGAAAAGCAGACGAACAGCTTACACTCCTGGCAATCAGTCTCTAACAGCATACAGTGAATCCCCCCAAGAACGAGACAAGGCTCCGTGTTGAGGGTCAAGCAGTGGTCTGTTTAATGAGGGCTACCTGCCCGGCTTTTATGCAGGTCTCCCATCTGGTGGACACTCCCCTAGGGGACCAAATGGGAGACTGTGACAAGGGACAGACAAGTATACAAATAGGACACACAGTCACAGTATATTCCCACAATGCATCCTGGCTTCCTCCCCTCTGCCCTGGGAGATAATTGGGAAGTAACTCAATTATCTCCCAAGACAAAGGCAAAACTCCATTATACACGTGGGAACACAAAACCAGCATAATACTTTAAAATGCACAAAGTAACATTTACTACATAAAACACAGACATGTAACATATCCCCAGATAGCTCAGGTCTGAGTGC